CAAACAGTGGCCGGGGGGCTGGAGGAGGAGCTCCTGCACCCCGGGAGGCTGGACGGAAGGCTGGACGGAAGGCTGGACGGAGATGAGCTTCAGAGTCTACTGTTCCCTAAGCCGATGACATTCAAGGAACCAGCACCAGGGGAGTCAGAGAGTCAGCACGGGACAGCAGAGCTTTGAGAAGATGCTGTCAGAAGTGAGAGAGAAGGGGAGGGGTCCTGAGGAGCAGACGTGGGCCTGCGGCGTTTCTTAAGGAACAGACACACAGCTGATTATATTTCTACAAAGGCACAGGCTGGTGACTAAGCCCGAGTGTCTGATCGGCATCTGCAGGGAAGAAACAGGGGTATCGGAACAAGAGGGGCAAAGCCTTCTGCAACCGTTTTCATAACAAGTTACTGAGTCTGAGCTCTGAGTCTGATATGTCTAAGAGAAGAGCCCAAAGCAGAAACTTCACACTGACCTTGATAAGCCCAGGAGGAGGTTTTTCATAACTGGAAAGGAGAAAAAAAAAACAACCAACCATCATCAATCTCATTAACAGAGGTACAACACATTTTAATGAGCGAAAAGCAGCTGCAGGCTAAAATTAAAAGGATATTTTTAATAAAAACTTAAAACGGTTAATAAAATATGCCCAGCACTCAAGAGATCACATGGAAATAAACTGATGCTGTACCACATCCTGCTGAGATCTAGAACTTAAACTCACTGCACTAATAACGAGTCCGGTGTTTCAGCACAATGATGGTAGTTTTGGAAGAAGGGAAAGCAAGAGATTGCAGGGAAAATGTGAGGTAAGAAGACCGTGAGTTAATTCTGGTTCCTGTCATAGTTGTCAGGTTGCTTACCCAGGGTAAACCCCGCTTACGCAGCACTGAAGAGGGTAAATGGCTCCTAAAAATCGTGTAACTTAATGATTTAATGTTTCCTTCATCCTGACCCTCTTCTTATGCACCAGCTTTAATGGCCCTTCAGGACAGAGTAAATATTGGGGGTGCAGGGGTTAGGAAGAATTGACTAAGGGAAAAGTGAAATGCTTTTTCCATCCTCTCAGATGTGAAAGAAAACTTTGGTGATGTGATATTGTCACTTATAATAGGAAATACATATATTTGGTCTTCACTGCTCTTGGTACATAGCTCCTAAAACCCATGTAATTTCCTACAAGAGCCGAAGGGGCACCTTTTGCTATTATACTTAGTTTTGTTCCCAATTCCTGAAATAGCTCCAGAGCTAAGAAGGTGAAAAGTTTCTTTTGTTATTCATAACAAGCCCCTTTCAAGGGAACTGAGCTTATGTTAATGAAGTAACTTTTGGAAAGCCCCTCAGGATAGGGGCTGGTTGCCAGGGGAACAAGCCTGTGATTAGAGGATTGGAATTTTCAGTTCCACCTCCAGGGAGAATGAACTAGTCGCCAAAGGCCAGTGATTAATCAATCATGCCCATGTAATGAAGCCTCTGTAAGAAGCCCAAAGATGGGGTTCAGAGAGCTTCAGGGCTGGTGAACTCGTGGAGGTGTGGCATTCCCGGAGGAGGGTCTGGAAGGAAGTCCCAGCCCCTTCCCACATACCTTAACCTTCTGTATCTCTTCCATCTGGCTGCTCCTGAGTTATGTCTTTGTATAATAAAGTAGTAATCTAGCAAGTAACATGTTTTCCTGAGTTCTGTGAGCCGTTATAGTACACTAACCACACTGGAGGCGGAGGTTGGGGGAACCTCTGATTTATAGCTTATCAGTCAAAAACAGTTAACTTGGATTTGGCAATTGGTAGGTAAAGTATGTGTGGGCGGGGACAGTCTTGTGGGACTGAACTCATCTCCAGGTGGAGCGTGTCAGAATTAAGTTAAATGTGTAGGACATCTACTTGGTATCCTCTGAGAATAGGAAATTGCTTGGTGGTGTTGGAAACCTTCTCACCCTCAATGCCCAGCTGGAGTCCTGTGAAGTGCTGTGAGTGTAGTTTGAGCATAGACAAGGAAAAGAGGAGTGGTTTTTCCTTTGCAATGGATGAGAGATGCTGTGAGTAGCTACAGCAAAAATCACTCCCCTTTGGCTGCCTCTTTGGACCCTTCCCAATAAGGATTTTGATGGAGGCTTCTCCGTGCTTACCCTCACCATCACTAATTCAGAGCTCTTCTGAAGGAACGGGGGACTTACTTATTCCCTAAAGATTACATAGTAGACAGCTTAGTATACACAGAATTCGCTTTTTAGGTACGCTATTTCCGAAGAAAATACTTAAAATATTTTCCAGTGGAAAGCTGTGGCATGTCTTTGGTCTAGGCTTCTCTTAGCAAGAAAAATGGTAATTTGCATGAGTTGGGAAGGTGATACTTCCTCAGCAGCCATCATTAGAAACATAAATGTAATGCTTTATATGCAAAAGAGTTTGGAAAGGAAGTGGTAGTCTATGTAAATATCCATTACCCAACAATACTTTCTTTTTTCCGTAGGTGTTGTACAAATAACATATGGCCAACAAGCTAAGATCCAAATTCCTGAGAAAATAAGTAAATGTTTTTTGCTTAGATGGAGGAGTGTGATGGAACTGCATATTTTGAAATCTGTTATTATTAGCAATGGCTTTCCCTAAAAAGTCCACTTTTCAACTGTTCCCACAAATCTATTTTTTCCAAGGGGTAAACAATTAGTTTATAAGCAAAAAAAAAATTTTAAAAAAAAAAAAAAAAAAAAAAAAAAAAAGGTAGTTAAAAAATATTTCTCAAATACTAAGGTAATAGTTAACTATTAAAAATAGCAGATTTGGAAATGGGAATGGGAGTGTTTGTTTACTGCACTGAGACAGCTGAAAAGTGCACTACGTTTGTTGTTAATTCTTAGAAAATGAAAATAAAAGTTGGTGGAGGCCTGTGATTTTGTGCCATCTGTGAAGTCTTACAGTTAGTTACATCATGCAGATTGCAATACACTGCTCTGAGCAGTATAAAGACTAAATTTAGACAAGAGAGGAAAAAATTATCTTCCCAAGAGAGTACGGGGGAAGAAATCTTAATTTTGCTAAGTTCTTAAAAAATACTCCTTGGATTTTCGAGTGCTGGGGTGGGATTTCTTTTGGAAGAGTCCTTCAGGTAAGCATACTCCGTTTCCATTGTTCCTGCAGCTGGCTCCTGTGGGGCTTGAAGGCAGAGAAGAAGCTGTTACATGTACACAGCATCTCCACTCTGTTATGCCTGGCAGCCCAGGAACATGGGCGATAGAACTGGAGCCTGGGATGGAACACAGGGTGGAAGACTCAGATGCCTTCAGGGCCTGGCAGGTGTGGTCAAAGGGTCTGAAAAGTTAAGGTGAGGTGTAAGAAAATGACCAGAAGAATGTGAGAGGACCTAACGAGGGCATACCAGGGAGTGAAAGGATTTGAATTTAATTTGTAAAAACCATGAAGGGGCTTCCCATTTAAAATGGCTGGCTGACCAACTGACTGATCTGCCTTGCTGCCTTTTCTAGACTCTCTTAAAATGACGCTAAAGGGATAAAAAAGTTAAGAAGCTACCAATAAATCCTGGGAGGAGATATTCGCAGAGAACGATTTCAAGACAAGGCTGGGAAGCCAATAGAAGAGAGTAACGGACATCTTCAGGTGGAAGAAGTTACAACCTTTGGAAGACAGAGGTTGGGAGGATGAACTCAATGGCTGGAACAACCAGACCACCACTAGTCTCCTCTACAGCCAGACTGTCTTCCCTCTCCCTTCGAAGAGACTGCAGGTTTAGTCCTCTGTGATACCTAACTGGAGAGGCCACAGACGCATGGGAATAGTGGCACAGCTCAGGATGGGGAGGAGGGCGAGGCTGTCTGAACTCCGGAACCAAAGCTCCCTCCTTCTCCATCCCAACTCAAAACACTGGCACCCAGGCCTGAGAATGGAAGGTTCTTCTTTGGACAAACTGAACAGGCCTTACCTATGACATGCGGGAGTCTCCCCGTGAGAAGGGCAGATCACAGTCTGATATCCCTACAGTGAAACTGAAGTCAATAAACCAGCACCTCTGCATTCGCTCTCTCTCAGCAGACCCTCCGAGTAGCTTTACGATGCCTCACTGCTATTGAGGGAGACTCAAGGATCCCTACGCGTTAGGAAGAACAAACTAAGTGACAGACATCGAAACAAAAGGCAAAGAAGAAACAGGTAATGGAAGAAGAAAACAAAAAACTAATGAGCATCCTCAAAGAGGAGGGAAAATATATTATTGATGAAACAACAGGTGCTACAAAAAAAAAGAATTCTCAGAACGAGGATGAGCTCTCGAAAGTTAAAAATATGGCAACTGAAACTTGAAAAAGGAA